TTGAACAATATGCTTGAACATCAAGCACGCAAAGTCGCAATGTAGTCCCTGCAATGATCAATTGATAGCGATTAATAAATCATTGCTAGATGAATTATCATCGATTCATTCAATTGTTTCAGTCGCCCAAGAGAATGGAAGGAGACATTGAAACGAATAATAATTACTTCGTCCCGCGAAATCAGTTCATTACTGAATGTCAGTCCAGGCATTAGTCCTCTCTTTTTCAGCCAGAATATGGCAGCGAAACTGCCACTGAAGAAGATTCCCTCGACCGCAGCAAAGGCAATTACGCGCTCGGCAAACGTAGCACTCTCGTGGTTAATCCAGTTCAAAGCCCAATTAGCTTTTTTAGCTACGCAGGGCAGTGTTTCGATGGCGTTGAATAGGAATTGTCTAGAATGTGAGTATTCCTTTCGATTAGCATGCAAGTTTGCAAATGGATAATAATTATAAGTGAGAAGAGAAAAGTGTAGGGATGGATATTGTGGGTCTATGTACCTTTCGGATGGCTCGGTTATGTAAGTGTCGATGAGTAGGGAATACATTTCGGAATGAACATTTTCCATCGCCACTTGGAAGCCATAGAAGCATCGAGCCTCTGTGATCTGGACTTCCTGGCTGAAGCGCTCGACGAGATTCTCATTCACAATACCATCGGATGCGGCGAAGAAAGCAAGAACGTGGGAGATAAAATGCTTCTCTTTCTCGTTTAATTGTTGCCAATCGGATATGTCCTAGAAAAGAACCATAAGAGCCATAAAATCACTTAACGCAGGTATGAAGGAAATGCAAATGAAATGGAAATTAATCGTTGTCACACGAATCATTTACTTTGGAGAGATCGACCTCCTCTACCGTCCAAAACGATGCCTCCGCCTTTTTGTACATCTGCCAAATATCGGGCCATTGAATTGGAAAGACCACAAAACGTCCAGGATTTTCTTTTAAAAGAGGCTCCAATTGGGGATCAAAAGTCAAGGGGCTCTCTTTCAAATCAATTTTCTTTGCAGCTTTACTCGTATCGTTCTACAAGCAAGTAATCATTACTTTATACAAGGGGAGTAAACGATGGGAGCGGTTGGTTAATATAATTGGTATTTGTTTCCATCTTACGGTAGGTTTCATTCCATTCTGATAAGAAATTGTCTGAGTTAGGTATTGCTTTTTTGGAGACAACTGAAAATAAGTAAAATATATAAATTAATTATATATACTTAGACTTGGACATAAAAGTATTATATTCGCACATTGTTGTAAGATCGAAATCGACTTTGATTTCTATTGTAAGTTAACCTTATAAAAGAATGGTTAGTTAACCTTACAGCTTTTTAATTTACTGGCTGGACGAAAGCATCCAACGCTCGTTCCTTTCGCTAAGTCTATTGTAAATACTCACTGTACATGCACGGTTTGTCATTTTAAGATGCTCTCTACGATAATAGTTAATTTTAGAATAGTCATCGCTCTTCCTTGTTAAATCTATCAAAATGATATTTTACTAAGCTCACTGTTCTCATATTACGGGCTTAACGATAAACTTGTTTATGCAAACCAGAACATTCATTGGCAGATACAATTGCTTATACATTCTCATTCCTATAACAAGACACCAGAAATTTTAACTCGAAAACAATCCCTTATTTTATAAACTTTGTTATCACCAAGTCTTAACTAAAAAATAAATAATAATACATCTTTATCTCTAGAGGGAAGATATTGGCTTTATTTAGCAAGCGTAATTGAATTTGTTTTTTTTTTGTGCAAACGAATAAAAATTTGTAGCAACTATCCTTTAATCGTGTCAATGTGCAAAACATGCACAAGCATTTTAAGAAAAAGAGCCACCTATTTAATGAATTTTATCCATTCTTAATATTACCATAACTACTGCTTGTATTACTTTCATTTCAACCGCGACTTTTTTTTTTTTTTCTCTCTCTCTCTCTCTCTCTCTCTCTCTCTCTCTGTCTCTGTTTTTATTATTTTTTTCTTTTTCCCCCAATAGACGTGTTGCGATCCGGCCGGCAAGTTGGTTAACATAAATAATTCATAAGTTTTCACAAAGTTATTGTTTCATGTTCGAACGTATTTTCCGCTCAGAATGTTTAATCAATTTGATCAAGCCGGGGGAGGACAAATTTCTTTTAAATTAATAATTGTAAACAATAATTCGACTACTTTACGAATGTCTACACAACAAACCTTGTTTAACCACGTGGATTAGATGTTACATTTATTTCGTTATGAAAATGCTGATTCGTATTGTGCTTATATTGCAATGCAAAGGCGTTTAACGTTAACATTTTAACGTTAAATACCTTCTTTTCTTTTTTTTTTTTTCTTTTTTTTTTTTCACCGTTGCCATTGTACATTGAAAATTTCCTGCAAGACAAAAATTTGCTAATAATGAAATAATAATAATAATAATAATAATAATAATAATAATACCGGAGAGGGCTGTAATCGGATAATTTTGCGATTCTCATCGAACATGAGAAAACAGTCATTGGCAAAGGAAAACGATGCAATACGTTAATTAATATTTCTTTCCAAAAAGAAAAGGATCGAAAAATGCTATTGGAAGAAATATATATATATATATATATATATATATATATATGGTCGCCTCGGTAAAGCATATTTTAAATAGCGATTTTAGCCTATTATGCTTGTTATATCGTTGTTAATCGTAATTAAATTTATCAGCGGTCACGCAGCCATTTCTCCTTACTTATTGCTGAATTAATTTAATTTAAAGCAGCACGACGACAGTTGCTTAAAACTTGCAACACAATGCAACGCTCGAGAAATGCTCGATGCTTTATAATGAACCTAAAAGCCACAAACGTCCCCATCGGTATACTAAAAAATGCCACATTTATAAGTCAAATGTCGTGTTTCGCTGCTTACAGGACTCGCTCGCGCTCTATTTTCAATGAAAAGTATCCTAAAGGCTAAATAAATGGCTAAAGGATCGCTTGACAAACGCATTCGTTATCGCGAAATACCTTAAGTCTTCTCATACAATCAAACATCCGAGCGTCGCAGCGATGCAACTACGCACACATCCCAATCACCATTCGAAGCGGCTAAAAGCGTTTCCCGCGCTTTTTATCATTTAGGCGGGCTGTTGCGCGCGAAAGCCCAAGATGCCACAATGTCGCCGCAAGAATTTATTGGATGGTATTATTACTTTGGGCGGCGAGGATCGTTTCCCAATTTTTTGTCTCTTACACGGTAA